TTTTCTTTTCACTGTCTAATTGGCTGCCACTTGACATTGTTTCTTTGGAACATAAACCCACATTTTTAACAGTAAAGCTGTTTCAGTCACGTGAGTGTACTTGACCTTACCCCATACAGATCGAAGTTCCTGTGCAACAAAGCCCTCCAAGGCCATCAAATCAGCTGGAGTTCACAGATGACACATGCTAATTGTTGTTCACTTTCTTACACAGAAAGTATGTATTTAAATGAAAATTAATTACATTTATTTTAAATTTCTGTAAAGATTCCATCTCACATCCTCAAAATAGGTACTGAAATAGGAAGGAGATGATCTTGATCTGAAAACATATGTTGATGTTTCCTATACAGAAAAGGATTTATGATGAGTTAAATGGAAATTTCCATGCAGAGGTATGTGTAAGTTCTCACTGTCCCTTTGCAGCAGTGGCTCCAGAAGCAGTGTGATTGTAACAGATAATCAGAGCTGCAACAGAGGATGTGTTCAGACAAATGGCAAACCAATTGCTTTTGATGCTGGGTGCAGTAAGGGAGGAATGGGTATATCTTTTATACTTGGGAAAAGTCTTGTTAGCTTAGCACAGGAAAAAAATCTGCTGACACAATTGCTTTTATAGGATAAGATTTATAGCTGCGTTGAAGATGCTGATCATATTCTATAACTGGTTAACAGCCAAAAATGCATCAGCAGAATCAGGTGTATGTGCAGTTAACAGGCTAGGAAGCCACAGGAGAAACAGTGATACGGTGTGAGGCAGGGTATCTTCTGCTTTGGAGAGCCGAGCTCTTCATTCACAGTTCAGGACTCTGATTTCTCATCTTTTGCTGTCGTTGCTTCAGGGGATATGATCTGATATTGTGCTTTTCAATTAAATGGTATTTTTACTGGATCTTTTTTTCTCTCTTATTTTTTTTCTTTTTTCCCCACCTTCCTCCATCCTCTCCTTTGACTTCCTATGAGATAGAAAAGAATGAATTGCAGAGGACCACTTAATGTCTGATGGTCATTGACCAGTAGTGTTTGTAACCAACTGCATAAGAGAAATATCCAAACGATTGCTTACCAAGAGGCAGACATGGATTTGTGATGGGGATAAAGCTGCATAGCAGAACAGTCACCTCTGAAGTGCTCATTCACGTTCCTCCCTTGGATTGCATGTCTGAGAAGGGTATGGAGAGGGAAGTCAGATTGCTTTAGACTCACTCAAGCCAGTAAGGCATGACTGTCCAGGAGAGACATCCATTCAGACCAGGAACAGTCCTCCTCCCTCCTGCAGGGATTTAAAGCTTCTGTTCAATGATGCAAGTGCAAGACCAAAAGTTCCTGTCTCACATTGCAACTGTTCCTGGAGGATATTTTTGTATTTTGGAATAACTTTGCCAAGTAAGTGTTTACTTTTTCCAAAACCACTAGGAGGACTGTCTTTGTAAGTATGAATGTATATCCTCTCTGCTGCCAGGAGCAGATTGCTGCACAAGTAAACTCCATGCTCTCACATTGCTCCCAGCCTGGCTCATCTCAGCATAGCTGATCCCACAGGTTGAGTCCTGTAGTCGCATGCTCCCTTTAAAAAAAAAAACAAAAACGCTGAATTAACCTGGTAATCCACCTTCAACTAGCTGCCTGTGTTTTCACGCACCCCCAAGTGACTTTAATGTTTGGATCTGTGTTGGGAAAGGAAATTCAAATGGAATGACGTAACCAGAACCCCTGGGGCCAGAACCTCTACTGAATTTCAGAAAAGCTTGATGAATGATTTCTATTTTATGGGAACTTCTTCACCTGTGAGCAGGAGTAGGTATGTACTTCTGCCCCCTGTACTCGGCACTGGTAAAGCTGCACCTCGAATACTGTGTTCAGGTTTGGGCCCCTCACTACAAGAAGGACCTCGAGGTGCTGGAGCGTGTCCAAAGAAGGGCAACGAGGCTGGTGAGGGGTCTGGAGAACAAGTCTTATGAGGAGCAGCTGAGGGAACTGAGGTTGTTTAGCCTGGAGAAAAGGAGGCTGAGGGGAGACCTTGTTGCTCTCTACAACTACCTGAAAGGAGATTGTAGCAAGGTGGGTGCCAGTCTCTTCTCCCAAGTAACTGGCGAAAGGACGAGAGGAAATGGCCTCAAGTTGCGCCAGGGGAGGTTTAGATTGGATGTAAGGAAAAATTTCTTTACTGAAAGAGTAGTTAAACATTGGAACAGGCTGGCCAGGGAAGTGGGTGAGGCACCATCCCTGGAGGTATTTAAAAGACGTGTAGATGTGGTGCTTAGGGACATGGTTTAGTGGTGGACTTGGCAGTGTTAGGTTTATGGTTGGACTTGATAATCTTAAAGGTATTCTCCAACCTAAATGATTCTGTGATTCTGTATGTATTTACAGCAGAGGCATCTGTTTGAATTTGTGGTCAGTGGAGAGTAACATGAAAGAAGCATCTTTTGCCTAATTTCACTTTTGATGATTTTTGTAGCCTTGTTGATGAGGACAGTGTAGAAAAGTACTCAGACTGAGTAAAGTCTGTCTTCAGGGAGCGTAAGTAAACTAGCAGGCAGTACAGAATGAAAGCACATGTTGTGGTTTAGTTTGTTATTCCTACAGGTTTTCTGAGACTTCTGACATTTCTGATCCTTGTTCTCTTGCTGCAAGTGGATTATGGACATACGTGAACTAGACAAACACTAAGCAAACAAGCAGGTTTTCTGGAGTGACTGTATTAGAATTGTGCTGTATCTTTCAATTTTTAACAGGAAGCCAACGATTTGTTGTCATGCAAACTGCCACTAATTACTTTCGGCTGCCAGTGTTAGCATTTATTTGACATATTCCCATTTCGTCAGGGCTATTTATTGTCCAGTGTACTCACAACCAATAATTAGTGAAGCAGAACTTTTCAGAAACAGGCTTTCCTTTGTGTTATACTCTGTAAATGTCAGTGGTAGAGCTCTTCAAGAAATTGTGTTATGCTGTGGCTCAGTGGAGAGTTAAGAACAAGGACTGAAGTATGAATGCAGACTGGTTGAAAGCTTGGATCTTAAGGAGGAAAAAGGGCCGCTATTACGGCAACATTGAATCAGTGCTCTCTTACAGTATCTTTGTTTTTGAGAGCTTAGGAGGAAGATCAACCTTAACTGCAAAATGCACTGGAAATCAAAGACTAACTTCTTCATAAGCTATTTCCTAATTCCTACCTGTGTGTTGTGGTTTAACCCAGCAGGCAGCTAAACACCACACAGCTGTTTGCTCACTCCCCACCCCCCCTCCAGTGGGTTGGGGGAGAGAATCAGGGAAAAAAAAGGTAAAATTCATCGGTTAAGATAAAGACAGTTTAATAGGACAGAAAAGGAAGGGAAAATAATAATAATAACAATAATAATAAAAGAATATACAAAGCAAGTGATGCACGGTGCAACTGCTCACCACCCGCCGACCGATGCCCAGCCAGTTC